CTCCGTTACAGAGAATCACAGAATCTCAAAGACATTACAGAACAGCATAATTCAGTGGAAAATGAGCAAACAGCAGCAGCCCAAAAGGCAGCCTAGTAGATGACACTGAGAGTTTGCATTTCAGCTGAGAAAATAACCTAGAAAATGACACCAGTTGCTCTGCAGAGAAGCAGCAAGTAGTAAAAAGAAAAAAAAAGCACCAGCTGGGATAGAATTAGGATGAAGCCCTAGTAACATGAGTTGTGCAGGCTATGCATGTTGCCTTCCCCTATGACATGAGAACCTATAGTACAATGTGCCCTCATTTGTCTGGGGCAAATTGCTATTTACTTTACTATTCTGTTGTACTTAAAAACCTTTTACTTTGAATTATTCTGTCCTCCGGATTGGTCTGATAAAAGAGAAATATTGATGGGATCTTATGAGCTGTGATTTTTGAAAAGAGACTTTGAACTTAGGTATATCTTTCCAGAACTCACATTTGAGGGCATTCTAAGTAACATGGGTTTATTGAACAGGTTCAGCAGGGTCATTAATGAACCATTCTTGATATTAAATGGCTAGTAAGAAGGGCTGAAAATGCTAAACCAGAAGCATAGAAATGATATTTGCTATAAAGTAAAACTCTGCTGAACTCAAGGCATGATGGATGACTGAAGGTGACTTAACCACCTGTTTTTTGGTGAGCAGTGTGGGGGAGGCAGAATTGGTAGAGTAGAAAGAACACAGATCAAATGTCAGGATACCTTCATTCTAGTTCCAGCTTGAACGCTAGCAAACCGAGTAACCTTGGACAAGTCACTTAACTTCCCAGGGTTTTGTTTTCTTCATATAGAAATTGAAGGGAGTAGGATCCCTTTCATATATAAGTTCTTTAACAGATCAAGTCAACAGACATTTATTAAGTACCTACTATGTACTAGGCACTGTGCTAAGCACGGGGGTTACAAAGAGAGGCGCTGTCCTAAAGGAGATCACATTCTAATGGGGAAGACAACATGCAAACAACTCTATATGTACAAGATACATACAGGGTAAACTCAGAGGGAAAGCACTAGCATTGAGAGGGACAGGCAAAGGCCTCTTGCAGAAAGTGGAATTTGAGAAAAGATCTAAAGGAAACCAGGAAAGCTGGTCCTATAATACATATCCAATCTAATTGCCCACTGCTCTTAGATATATACCCACCAAGTTGGGCTCTTGTCAGGAAATTCCAAGGAAAGGCAGATAGGAGGAGAGGGAGCATTCAGTGCATGGAAGACAACCAATGAAAAGGCACAAAGTCAGGAGAGAAAGTGTCACGTGCAAAGAATAGTAAAGATGCCAATGTTGCAGGATTGTAGAGCATTTTGAGGGGAGTAAAGTATAAGACTGCAAAGGGAAGAAGATGCCAGGCTGCGAAGGACTTTGAAAGCTAGACAGAGGATTTTATATTAGATCCTGGAGGTAATAAAGAAAAACCACAGTGCATTTTGAAGCTATAAATATTTTAAGGACATCCTAAAAAGGGACAAAATCAAAGACTACTTGCTTTATGACGGTGGCAGGGGTGGGCACAAAAGGCAGCATCAGGCAGAATGGCTGAGCTTCCTGAAGTTTGAATTAAGGTGACTCCTTTTTATTTCTTAAATCATGGAGGCATTTCTATTTTTAGCACTTTATCAAGGTAGCATGGAAAGGTCAATGAGAGACTCCATAGGTTATTGAAGGGCTAATTTACCATGTAATTAATTTATTCAACCATGGTAACCCACAATCAGTGCATAAAAATAACAATCCATAAAAATGACAAAATTAGTGAAAGGTTTTGGTTCATCATTTTTGATCCTCAAGGTCCCCTAAATGAAAGTAAAGCCATATGACTAAGGATATTGCCATTGATTTGAAATGCCAGTCTTTTACGTCAATGTAGTTCGCCCTACTGAGAGTAATGGAGTTGCCACGAACCAACACCCAAAACTTAACTTGGGAGATCTAGCAAACAGCTACTTGATAAAAGAGATGTAACACCTAGTATCTATTTTATTATTGAGAACATAGAATTTCTCCAGCTCCCTACAGCATATTAATCAGTACATTCTTGGATGTGCACAGAAAAATCCTATTTAAAAAACCTAACTACATATTTTTTTAAAAAAAGCAAATTTAGATAATGTTTCACAACTTGCTGGGATGAAGAGGGAGGGGGAGAGACAAAAAAGGCTCCAAAGCAGATATGCCAAATACAAAATTGGAAAGTGTCCACAAATGCTTTCAAGTGGTTGAAATGCAAGCCATGCTATATCAATCGTGTTTTCAGTACCTGTGGTACACCCGGGTTTGGCGGCAGCAGGATGATGTTATTTGAGCCAGCATCCTCTGACTGAAAGCAAATATAGTGAAATGGTTATAGTGAGTAGCACATGAGCTACGTCACCTGTTGGCAGCAGAAATGCTAGAGTTCAAAGTATTTCCTATAGCTTACGGAGCCAGAATAAATTGTATCTTGTGAGCCATCCCTCCAAGTTTTATCTAGGTAAAATTAAGTTTAAATGATTGCCAAGATGGTATTAAAAGGAGAAAGAAAGTACCATGATGCCTCTTTGAACACTCCAGTTATTGAAACCACACAGGATCCTCTTGCTTTCCTCCTTTCCCCATCTTGTTGGCCCCATGAAATCACCTAGATTAGGGGTGGGGGCTCTCGATCCTCAAGTGCGGCCTTTTGACTGAATCCAAACTTTTATTAATGGGATTTGTTCTGTGAAGTTTGGATTCAGTCAAAGGGCCACGCTTGAGGTCCTAGAGGGCCACATGTAGCCTCATGAATGAAAATTCCGCACCCGTGAACTAGATTCCTCAGATCCTAGAGACAGGTCTGAAAAAGTGGAATTTGAGAAAAGACTTGAGGGAAATGAGGAGGCAGAGAAGAAAAGGAATTGCCATCTGGCAAATGTGACATGAGAAAAATAATAGATGCATTTAAAATTTAAATCTCTTGGAGAATATTTACCTTAGGAGTAAGAATTCAACAAAAATCAGAGAGGCAGAGAAAGATTTTTAGGTTAATAGTCTCAAAAACTCAAATTTCATTTTTAAAAAGATTATAGTTCTCATTTCTTTGTGCTACTATTATCTAAATCTTTGTATCTCTTCATGAAGACTTCTTAATCCATCTGATGAAAGGAGAAAGAGCTGCATAAAATACTAGTCCCATAACTAGAGTGGTGTACTGGGACTTTATCACTAGGTGCTGACATTTACGGAGTACTGCCAGCAGTTTTACTCCTTCAGCAGGTAGAAATAATGAAGCTTAGCACCTAGTTAACTAGTATCAAGGGAAGTGATTTATTCTGGTCATTTGATTCAATTCAACATTTACAAAGTGCCTACTATGGGTCTTCCTTCAAAACCCAACTCAGATGCTAACTCCTCTATGAAAACATTCCTGATCTCCCCCTAGCTATTTGGGTTCTCTCCCATTTTTGTTTTCTTTATATAACCTGAATAACTCTTTGTGGTCTCTTTCCTTATTAGATTGTGAACTCCTTGAGAGAGAGAAGCACTGTCTTTTATCTTTCTTTGTATCCCTAGTGCTTAGTTCATATCAGGTGCTTAGTAAATATTTGTTTACTGACTCCTAAAAGACAGGGACAATGTTATTTTCTGTCTTTGTAGCTTTTCAGTGTTTGTACATAGTAGGCATTTAATAAATGTCTCTTGGACTTAATTGAATTAAAATGGGAAGCTACCAGATGGGCTACTTCCTACCCTCCCCTATGCCCCAAGTGCTTGGACCCCAAGTGCTTGGACCCCAAGTGAACACTTCTTCCCTATGACCCACCCACTCATCCTCATGCTACCTCAAGATCTCTGTCTCGTCCCTATATGGTGTACCAGCTTCTTTTCCTGCAGGATCTGTGTCCTGAGATCAAGGATCTCTCCTTGAGATGTCTCTTAAATCCAGCTTGAGCAAAAGAATTTGTCTTTAAAAAGTTTATTTGAGAGCACCTTTTAAGATGCCTGTGCAACTTGTAGTACTTGTCCAAAGGGCCTGATTGCATAGCTCTGACCAGCCCCCATGCACACTTTGCCTTTTGTGTTTGAGATCTTTATGCCAAAGCAGCTTACTGTTTCCCAAACTATACCTCAAATAGTCAAAGCATATATGTCTGCAAGGTGGGACAGAAGTTGCCAGAGCAAGATTCCTCTTAAGAAAACTTGCATCAGGAGACAACCGCTGCAGAAAGCCAGATGGAGAATGCCAGCTTCCTAGATCTAATTTTCTCATCTGAGGAGCTCAATATCATTACATTCTATATCTGCTCATGCTTTTGCTGTATTAATTAGGTAAAGGAGATTGTGCCAAGACATTTGATTAGTATTACCAGAATTTAATGTTTTTCCACTCTGAAACCTCAATGTATGAGAAATACTACATGAGTGTGTGCACAATTAAGCAACTGAAATCCAATCTTCAATTTTAGGACTTTTTTGGCTTAGAAAAGCTATTGAAACTTTATCTATCATGAAGACAATCTGTTTCACATTCCTTAACAGCTCTGAGTAATGTAGATTTGTTTCTTTTTTTTTTAAAACCTTCCAACAGCCAAAACTTTTCTGAGGCAGAGAGGGAAGCTTCTATTTTAACCACCTAACTACTAGAACCATGTGACTATTAATTACAGAATCCAGAAAGAATCTGTGAAATCTATTTCACAAAGGAGAGGGTGGCATAGATATAAGAGAAGGGAAATGCTCCCATTGCCATAAAAAGAGGCTACACAGTAATTAAACTAGAATCTTGGAAAAGATAGAAGTGGTGGCAGGTGCCTATTTAAACTTAAGGGTCATGCCACCTTTTGCTCCTTCAACCCTGCTAATGAGCTGCTGGCATGATGATGATGATGATGATGATTATGATGATGTTGACAACAATGTTTCCAGGCAGAAAAAAGTAAACTTCAATAAAGGATAAGCATGAAGGTGGAAGGAGGGGGAGGCAGTTTCCTAATACCCACCTGGTTGTCAGAGGTGCTGTTCTCGTTCCCCATTGTGATTGGCGGAGACTCTCTCAGCAGGCCCTCCTTAATTAGGAAAAGACAAGCAACTGGAAGAGATTAAAAAAGAGTAGAAACCTTTGTGAAATCCAAGAAAATAGGACCCCCTACTCTGGGCAAGCTCCTCTGCTCCAGTATCTCAACAGACTCATCACGGAAAATTGCTTCGGAAAACTTTTCTCTTGAGAGTGAAGTGCCACCCAAGAGTTCTTTCCCAATACAGGTTGGCAGTCGCTTGTTTCATTTTTTTAATTTTTTTTTTTTTTTACCACCCCAGAGTTGGCAGATGCAGCTGAAAAGCCAGTTTTGTTGCCGTGTTCTTGAACTACAAGTGACTACATAAATGGAGACATGGTCCTGCCCAGAGTTCGGAGGCCGCTGCTGTCGCTGTTACCCAGGCTGCTGCACACGCTCTGTAATTGTTCATTTTGGAAGTTGGATGTCTAGAGCTGCCTTCCCACAATTGGTGATGATATAACTCAATGGCAAGGGTTAACAACGGCACTTAAACATCTTTAAACAATGTTTTATCAAAGTAATCAATATAAAGCTATAGATATATAAATAGATGATAGATACAGATAGACAGATAGATGGATATGTGTGTGTACATCTATATCTATATCTTTATCTATCTGTATTACTCTGGCACGAGGCTTTGAAGAAGTCAGTGTAGTTCTCCTGTTTTAAGAAAATGGGGTAGCATTAAAGTCCAATTAGAGCACACACCCCCTCCTTTTACCAATGAGGATATTTCGACTCAGAAAGGTGAAGGGACCCTGCCTGCCTGAGCTCACGAAGGTAGTGAGTGTCAGAAGAAGGATTTGAACAAAGTTTTTTGACGCCATAGCCTGAATTAGGCTACCTCCTTGTACAGGGCTGTCCTGCCAACTGAACTAAAAATGCATATTAATGTGTGTGGAAACATGTTGAATAGTGTTATTATTAATTATCACAATAATGATGGTACTTTGCATTTATATAGTTACAAAGGATGCCATAGGTGTTTAGTACTTTTTTTTCCAAGATTGTTATGAACTTAGCCGGATTGCAAATTGACTCAAAATCCAGCTTGCTTTTTCAGTATTTACATTGTCTTACAATCCGCTAATTGTAAAAAGAATCCATTTATTTTTCCTCCCCTAGAAACATATCAATTATAAGGAATACAAAAGCCATCATAGACGCAGAGCTAGAAGGATCTCCAAGACCATGAAGTCCAATTTCCTCATTTTACAAATGGACAAACTGAGTCCCAGGGAGATTTAAGTCACTTCTCAAAGTCACACACATAGTAAGCATTAGAAATAGGATTTTAATCTACCTCATTTGCTTCCAAAGGATGCTGCTCTTTCCCCAGTATCACACTCCCTCTATCTTTGTAAGTATGCTATATAATGTGTAGGAGTGACACTATTTTCATTTAAAAAATTGAAATTCTAAGCCGTAGAATAATTCAGAGGATGATAGACTTTTAGGGCTAGAAAGAAACCCAGGTCATTTAGTACCACCCTTTCAGGTACTACATTGAGGAGACAAATGAAGGCAGTTTCGTCCAACTACTCAGTGGCGGGATTGAGACTTGATTCCAGGTCTCCTGGCTCTCAGGCCCCTGTTCTTTCTAAGATACCAAATTTATCAAATTTATCTCCCAACAATCTTCAGTTGATTTTGGGCCATTTTAAAATACCCACTTACTAGAAAGTCATTTCAGTTCATCATAATAGGCTGTCACATATTTAATTAAAATGGCCTGCAGTTGACACCGAAGAGTCAATATGGAATAGTGGAAAGACTTGGATTTGAACTCAGGAGATGCAGGTTCTATTCTTAGCTCTGTAACTAGCTGGGTGGGTCACCCTGGGCATTTCTCTTCACCTCTGTGGTCTTCAGCTTCCTCATCTGTAAAATGAGGATTTTGGATAAGACGATCTCAAGATTCATTTGAAAAGCTAGTACTTATGGTAAGTATGATTTTTTTAAACAATCTTCTAATCACAAAATCATCTGTTTCTTTTTATTTCCCTTTCCCTTGAAACTTATCACTTATAAGGAATAATAATTACTTGAATTTACTGTAAGTAAAATTTCATCAAAAATCTGGCAGCATGGGATAGGCACTTAGAGTCAGGAAACCTAAGTTAAAATCCTCCTTCAGACATCTGCTTAGTTGTGTGATCAAAGAAAAGCCCCTTACCTCTTAGCCTCAGTTTCTTCATCTGTAAAATGGAGATAATAATACTTGTACTATCTACCTCAGGAATTGGGAGAAATGTATTGCAACTCTTAAAGTTGCTACATAAATATAAAATATCCACTTGGAAAGTATTTCCTAGTTGCAAAAAAAGACAGTGTACCAAATATCATACCTCTCTAAATGAGTCATTTTCTTATACATTTAAAATTTAATTTAATAAGCATTCGTTAAATGCTGACCATGTAGATACAAAGACAAAATGAAACAGTCCCTGCCATTAAGGTGCGTATTAAACCAGATAAAACTAAACATTTGAGTTAAAAACCAACACATCTAAAATACTTCAAAGCAATTAACTAGACGAATATGAAAAAACCACCTCTGATTGAATGTGCATTTCAAAAAAACATACATGAAAGGCCTGATTTGAGATGGTTTCCTAACAGATTTTGAAATTATAGCTCCCCTCCCCTTTATTTTCCAGTAAGAATTTTTTTCAAAGCACATAACTTTGATTGGTACTTACATTAAAAAAATGAGCTGGGGGCTCAGCTACCTCCAGCTCCACCAAACCCGAGTATTTGACTTTCAGCTGGATGTAATTTCACATCGTACTTTCTACTCCTCCATTCAGAATCACATGAGATTTAAACCGAGCCACCTTAACCAGTTTAACAAACAGCCCTGTCTCCACCCTCAGCCAGCCCTGGATGACGGAAACCAGCTCTACTTCATACCTCCTTAGACCGGGCATGGCTTAAATGAGGCTTCCTGAGAGTTTCTGTCTAATACAGAGCTGACATTTTAGAAAACTAAGAGCCAAACACATTAACCCTAATAACTAGTCCATCGCCTTCCCCACTGAGGCCTTTTCCAATTATTCCATCAGCAGAATTCTTTTTAGAAAGGGCTTATCCAAATTAAAACTATGTCAGTGATTTACAACAGTAGTGTTGAATGTGAGACCATGAAAACACTAGAATACTATATGCTTACTCGCCCTTAGCACATTAAAGCAGGAAACTGGAGTTTTCCTGTCTTGGGGAAAAGGAATATAATGTACTATTTAAACATGGGTATTACTTTGCAGTAAATAATGCTGAAAAGCAATAAACACTTTTTGAAAAATGGTGATGCAAATAGTCTGGTACTTGTTTATACTTAATATATGACTTGGGTTTTGACAAGTATATGCACAAATGCACCGTGTTTACAGAGGTCCTTGATAGTTGGGACCAACCCACATGTGAGAAGAGATTGCAGATTATGAGGTGAGTTTGGAGAGTTGCCAAAGGAATGACCTACCCAGCATTCTTTCCCCTCAAGGCCTGGCATGGTACCTGGAATAATCACCACTGTGTCATTGTTAAGGAGTTTTGTGTCTCTAGGAGACCGCTGTTGAGATACAAATTTGGGTTGTAAGTTGGAGCTGGAGGGGAAAGAACCCTAGACCAAAAGTAAGGAAGCTTGGGCTGCAGTCCTGGGTCTGCCACTAGAAGCTTTTGTGAAATTGGGTAAATGATTTCTTGACTTTGGGCCTCAGTTTCTCCATCTGTTATGTGAAGGAATTAGACAAAATGATCTCTGAGATCCCTTCCAATCAATCAACAAGCATTTATTAAGAACCTATTCATGTCAGGGGACACAATGACACTTAAGAACCAAAGGCAAAAATAAAGCAGTTCTGCTCTTAAAGAGCGTATATTCTATCATTCTACTGGGAAGATATCCTTATATAAGAATTTACAAAATAAAATAAATACAAGGTCATTTCTTTGTACTTCTTTTATAAGCCATGGATGCTCCATTCCTGGTTTTGTGCCCCTTCACAATCTTTGAATAGTTCACTCTGGGAAAGTTTCGTACACTACAAATTGTGAATGCTTGAATTCAAAGTCTGAAAGGGGCCAAATCTTAACATTTTATTATCTCTGTTAAATGGGACATTCAGTGGATTAAGGGTCCATGGTCAATTCCCACATTTGTCCCTTCATCCATTAAATATCTGCTATTCTCCAAAATCAACTGGGATACTTAAAAAAAAATTTTAAACATTTTTATTTAAAGTTTTGAGTTCCAAATTCTACCTCTTCCTCCCCTTCCTCCCTCCCTGAGATGGTAAGCAATCAGATATAGGTTACATATGTGCAATTACGTAAAACACTTCCATATTAGTCATTTTATATAAGAAGACTTGAATAAAAGAAAAAAAATGAAAGAAAAAGTGAAAAATAGCATACTTCAGTCTGTATTCAATCACTATCAGTTCTTTCTTCGGAAGTAGATAGTATGCTTCATCATTAGTCCTTTGGGATTGTCTTGGAACACTGTATTGCTCAGAATAGCTAAATCATTCACATTCTTCATTGAACTATATTGCTGTTACTGTATACAATGTTCTCCTGGTTCTGTTCACTTCACTATGCATCAGTTTATATAAATCTTTCCATATTTTTCTGAAATCATCCTGCTTGTCATTTCTTTTCTTTTTTTTTCTTTTTTTTTTAAGGCAATTGGAGTTAAGTGACTTGCCCAGGGTCACACAACTAGTAAGTGACAAGTGTTTGGTCTGAGGCCAGATTTGAATTCAGGTACTGCTGACATCAGGGCTGGTGCTCTATCCACTGCACCACCTAGCTGCCCCCTGCTTGTCATTTCTTATAGCACAATAATATTCCCTTACAATCACATACCACATCTAGTTTAGCCATTCCCCAACCAATGGGAATCCCTTTGATTTCCAATTCTTAGCCACCATAAAAAGAGCTGCTATAAATATTTTTGTACAAATAGGTCCTTTTACATTTTTTGGATGTGTTTGGGTTATAGATCTAGCAGTGCTATTGCTGGGTCAAAGGGTATGCACAGTTTTATAGCCCTTTGGGCATAGTTCCAAATTGCTCTCCAGAATGGTTGGATCAGTTCACAACTCCACCAATAGTGCATAAGTATACATGTCAGGAGAATTTTTGGAGTACTTTTGAAAGATTTGTACATAATCCCAATTCTAGGTAGGTCTGTGGTGATGTCTTATACACGGGAAGCCAGGATGCACTCAGGTAAACAAGTATGGAACTGGCCTGTGCTCTAATCTAGGATGTTCAAATGGACTGAAGGCCCTCAGCACTTTAACCACTAAAGTTCCAGGGTGTGGGTAGTGTCACCCAAAGCCTTTAACTTTAACCAAGGATTTTTTAGTAGGGCCTGAAGGCTGCCCTGCAGATACAAGAGGATGTGGAAACTTTCACAGGGGCATGGGAAATTGGGGATGTGACCAAATATGGCTTGTTTATTCATTGCAAGAGTGTGCAAAAGAGCAGAGCCTGGCCATTTGGGTGCATAAAGTCCCAAACCAGAAATAGGCCGGAGTTGTGTGTAAATGGAAGAAAATACCCTACACCATGAGGAAATACTCCATGTCAAAAGACAACAAAGAGGTAAACCCATAAGAAGAAAGTACCTAACCAACAATACAAGCAGAGTCTCAGAGGGAAAAATGGGTTGTCATCAAATACTCGAAGAGTATTTTGAAGAACTGAAGAAAGTGATTTAAAAAATTAAATAAGAGCAATGTAGAAAAATTCAGAAGAATAAAGAGCTTAAAACTGAAAATGGAAAGTCTTACACAGGTAAGTAGACTTCCTAAAAAAACCAGGATAGAATAAATGTATCTCAATGATTCCAGGAGACAACAAAAAATATTAGAATAAAGTCAAAATACTGAAAAATAGCAGAATACATGAATTGTCTACTCTCAAAAACAATTGACTTTGAAAAAGATTAAGTAGAGATAATTTAAGCATCAATTAACTCTTTGCAAGTCATGACCAAATTAAGAATCTAGATTCCATATTTCAAGAAATGATAAAAGAATACCGCCCAAATCTATTAGAACAATAGGGCAAGTAAAAATAGAAAGAATCTACTAATCAATTCATGAAAGAAACCCAAATTGAAAACACTCAGTAATGTCATAAGCAAAATCCAAAGCTTCCAGGTCAAAGAAAAAAATCATATAAGCTAGAAGAAAAGGTTTGAGGTACCAAAGAATTATCATCATGAGTGCACAAGCTTATGCTATAACTACTCACCTGACTCTCCAACTGAGTCACTATACTTTCTCCACCATGTTAAAGTAGATTTCTTATCCTGGATGTTCATTCTGCCCTTGTGAGCCCCTCCTCTAGTTGGTCATTTTTTCCCATAACCTCCATTTTAAAGAAAACATCCAAGTCTATTACGTCTTTATTCCCCTCTTGGCTCTACTCCTGAAAATCCAGACTTTTTCTACCGTCCTCTTAAGGATACCTTTTGTTCCCACCCCTACCCTTTTCAGCTTTCTTTTATTTGTTGCCTTCCTCCATTAGCATTTAAGTTCCTTGAGGTCACGGGCCATCTTTCTTTCTGCTTGTATTTGTATTCCCAATACTTAGCACAGTGCCTGGCACATTAATAAATGTTTGTTGACTTTACTATTCTGGCGAAGACTAGTCAAATCAAATCTTAGAATATACTATTCAAAAAGGCAAAGAAAAAGTTTATAACCAAGAATAACTTACCCTGTAAGACTGAGCATAATATTACAGGGGAAAAAGTGGACCTCCAATAGAACAGAAGACTTTCAATTATTCCTGATGAAAAGACTAGAGCTAAACAGAAATTCTGAAATGAGAAAATAGGCGTCAAGAGAAATGTGGAATGGTAAATACATTTTAGCAACTGGAATATAATAAATATTGATGAACCACTTACATTCTAATGGGGGGAAAGAGACAAATGTCTTTTTAGAATCCTACTGGTTATAGGGGTCACAGAAAGAGTTAAGAGAGTTCTTTAAATAAATTCAGGGCCTAAAGATAGTTTGTTTTGTTTTAATAGTTTTTAGAGAAGAAAGAAAAGGAAGGAAAATGGAATAACCTAGATGAGTTATGAGGAAGAAGTAGAAGGAAATTACTATTTCTTATAAGTGAGGTACTCAAAAGAAGAATATATGAACATGAAGGATGTGTTAGAGGGCATGAGTATCTCAAGACTTTGACTCTTATCTGAACCAAAGGAAGGTTGAACACACACACGTCCATGTGCACAGGCACGCGTGCGCGTGCGCGCGCACACACACACACACACTCATACATATGCACAGAATTGGAAAACAGGGAGACAGGAAATAAAGGAGAGAGAAGTTTAAGTGGGAGAATAAAGGTGGGGTAAGGACATGGTGAATAGAAAGGAGGAACAGTGGAGTGCCTTTCTCTTTGATCTTCTGGCCTTCTCTCTCTTCCTCACATATAATACAACACTCAATGAAATGCACGTGAATCCAGTGAAAAAAATTAGAATCTAAGTATTTAAATAAAAAGCTAATAAAATTACAGGGAGGGATAGATGGTAAAATACAGTGGTTAGGAACCTCAGCGTACCAGTTTAGACTTAGATAAATCTAACAAAAAAGACAAACAAGAAAGGAGTTAAGGACCTGAGCAGTATTTTAGAACGGCTACATGTGCTGATTCTCTGGCAGTTACTGAATGGGAATAGAAAGTAATATGCATACTTTTCAGCTGAACATGGCATTTTTACAAAAATTGTCCATAGGCCAAAGGCATTAAAATGTCATAAAAAATTCAGAAAAGCAGAATTATTAGATACAT